TGTTTTGTTTTGTTCTTCACATAGGGTCTCTCAGTATATAGCCCTGGCTGGCTTAGAACTCACTGTGTAGACCAGGCTGGCCCGGAACTCACAGAAAATTCCTGCCTCTGCCTCATAAGTATTGGGTTTGAAGATGAGTAGACATTGCTCCCAGTCCCCTTAACTACCTTTGATAAGCAAATGTTTTGACTCCTGAATTTTGATCATTTATACCCCTAGATGCTACTTGAATTCATCCAGATTTTCTCCTCAGTGTTTTATTGGTGTTTTATGTACATTTATCTTTGAAGCATTAGGAATTTGTTGCATGTGATGACAATTCAATGATCCAGTTAATAAAAGTATATTGAGCATCTATTATTCACTTAGCATTATGCCTGTCAGCTGAAGTAGAAATAAACCTCTTGGCAGATACAAACTCCTGCCCCAAGCTGCCCTCCAGTGCAAGGTCAGTGGTTGGTCAGAAGTATGTCAGACTTAAGTGAGCATGCCCACCATAGACAAATCTCTTTGTTCACTATATAAAATCATCACAGATAAAAGCAATAAGTTTCAAAGGCTGGGAAGACACTCAAGGGCTAATGCACTTGCCCTGCAAACATGGGAACTAGAGAGCGGATCTTCAAAGCCCACATAAAAGCCATGCAGGAGTGGTGGCCATCCATAACTCCAGCACAGGGGAAGCAAAGGCTTGAGATCCCAGGGGCAGACTGACTACCTGGACTAGCTGGAACTGGCAAGCTCTGAGTTCATCAGGAGACCCTCCTTGATAAATAAAGTAGAGAATGATCAAGGGGACCCCACTGTCAACTTCAAGCCTACACACCAAACTACAGACCAAGTGGCTTAAGCAGCATAAGCCCTCCTGTCCTGGGGGCTCAGTCCAAGATCACAGCATAAGGCCCATAGGCCTCCTCTCTCCTTGGCTTGTCAGTACAGCTTTCCATGTGTCCTCACGTGGTCCTCTCTCCATGTTTGTGTGCCTGGGTCCTAACTTCTTCCTTTAAATTTTATTTATTTTTGTGTTTATTTGTATGAGTGTTGTGACTGCATGTACATAGGTACACTCATGCAGCAATGCCCAGGAAGGCCAGGAGAGACCATCAGAACCCCTGATACTGGACTTAAAGATGGTTGTTAACTACTAAGTGGGTGCTAGGAACCAAACCCAGGTCTTCTACAAGATTAGCCAGTGCTCTTAATCACTGAGCCCTCTCTCCAGGCCCCAATTCCTTTCCTTTCTCTTTTGAAGACCCCAGTTCCAGTAGACAAGGTCATTCCAATGATCCTATTTCAGCTAATTGCCTCTTTAAAGGCCCTTTCTTTAAGTACTGTCACCTTCAGATGCAGTAGGAGTTAAGATTACATTATGAGCCTTTGAGTGGACACAAGTCGCCCCCAAACAGGTATCAAATGACTTGTACAACCACTGAGTACCAAGAGCATTCAGTGAGGGACAAGCAGGGGAAACCTGTCGAAGTGACAGGGCTGGGGTGGACCCTGAAGGATGTGTCAGAAAATGCTCTTCTATGAGAAAATGAGAAGCACACTCGCAGCCATCAGCTGTGTGCTGGGCTTCTAATGATGTAGCTGCATTGGCCAGAGAAAATTTGGGAGAAAAATGGAACATAACATCTGAAACTGCTGAGATTATAAACGACCTGGATTTTGAAGTTTAAAGTTGACAAGGAAGGAGAAAACATTACCACAAATGTTTTTAAAGTAGAATTTAATAATTGAAGTTATACTTAATGGAGAAAAATAAAAGACCTTGGTTTTACTTGTGAAATAATGCGTGGAGACCAGATTAAGACTCTGTCATAGGTATTCAGTGAGCACTTTGAACACTGAACAGTGGCCTTAGTAACTGAGAAAACCAAAAGAATGTGTGGAAAAACTGGCAGAAACCAGTGATTGCTTGTCTACAGGAAATGAAGGAAGGAGAGACAAGGTGACACCAGTGCTTTGAGACTAGGAGATAAATGGTGGTGCTGTTGAGGTTGTAGTGAACCGAGCCTTCCATTGAGAGGAGAGGTGATCAGTAACTCGGTAGCTCTGAGTTCAAGATTGAAGTTCTCAATAGGGAACAGGAATTATGACAATCTCTCATGGGATGGAAGGGTCAAAGCTACAGTATACATTAGGATGTCAGCTGCGGAGAGTGTAAGGAACTGGGGACAGATTCTCTCAGGAAACAAAGAAGGGGCACTTCCTTATCCTGCAAACTTTCGTTAAGCATTTATTGTCTGTCATACATTTCCTGAAGTTCTGAGAATGTAAGAATAAATACGAAAATGTATGCATCTTCAGAAACCTGATCGTCAGACAGGAAGGCTGGAGATAGTAGGTAATGTTCAAGGATGTAGGACTCAGACCTAATAGGACAAGAAAGGGGCCTTCAGTTCCTTTGAGAAGTGTACCTGTGACGTTCTAGAAGGCATTATCCTTTGTCTTTTGCTTTTTAAAATATTTTATTTAATATTCACACGTGCATGTAATGTATTCTGGTCAAATCCACTCCCCCTCCCCGTTCTCTTCTCTCTACTCCCTCCCCATTCTTCTAGCACTTTTCCCTCTCGATTTCATGTTCTGCCTCACTCTTTTAATATCTACTAAGTCCATTTAGTGCTGCCTGTATGTGCACGGGTGTGGGGCCATCTACTGGAGCATGGGTGGCCTCTCAGGGCCCTAATTACTGAAGAAAACTGACTCTCCCTCCACCAGCAGCCATCAATTGCTAATAGCACCTCAAAGAAGGGTGGACTTCATGAGCCCCTGCCCCATCCATGCTGGGATTTTGGCTAGCTTGATCTTGTGAAAAAATTAGGTTTCATGATGGCATTTTTCAAACAAGATTTGTTTCCATTTTCTTTCCTGTCTCTTCTCCCTCCCTTGTACCTTCCCAGCCCAGTAGCAATTTTCAATGGAGTCTTTGTAATAGAAATCAGATTGAATAGGAATCAGATTGATTAGGAAATGGAGACAAAAATAAGGAATCCTTTTATTCTCAGAATCTTTTTGTTCTCATGGTAATTATTCCAATCCTTTGCCGTCTTCAATTTGTTGTCATTGCTACAATAGTATTGTTACGATATTTTAATTCAGATTTTAAAAAGTTCTAAAGTCAGGTTAAAATTTAGTCACAGGCCACTTTCAAGTATTTTTTTAACTACTAAGAATATATATAATAATTTGATACTATATTTTTATATTTCATGCCATTTAGACAAAATAAAAATAAGTAGATACGGCCAATATGGATTTTAAATTATCAAAATTTGCAAGAGCCAATACCACCTGTTTGATAATCAGCATTGGGAGAGATGATGAATGAGAAGGAGAGAAATAAAAGATCACTGTGTACAATAGGATCAAGAACTCAAGCTTTACAAACTTGTGCCTGTGGCCATTCAAAACAGGACGTAGCACTGATATTTGACTCTCTTCACCTCCATCCATTTCTGTGACTAGAGAGAATAGAAGATAAATGTCCCGAAAGTGGTTGGAAAAGTGCTTTCTTCCTGTCTGTCTCATTAACAAACATCTCATTTTCTTTTGTATTATTTTTAAAAGACAGTAATAGTAGTTGCTGTGGCTTCTCCTAATCATCATTTCCCCAAGCATTGTACCTCCATGGAGTCCTCCTAACTAGCTGATTTCCTTTGTCTTCCAGCATTTTCCCAATAAATTTTGAAATGAATAAACTGGATAATGTTAAGAGTGAATGCTGTTTAGATAAATGTGCTGACCTCATTGGCTGGGCATGGAATTAGAATGTTAAGACACTTAATGCATCTTCTATCCTCATTGAAACTGGTCTACACTACCAGCCATGATTGTTGTCCTATAGTATTAACTATCCATTGACTTGAGTGGATTCAACTTGACTTGGCTAGCATAGTGAAGACAATTCAGTTTACCCATGTATGTTTGCACTTGGGGATTATATGCAGGCATGATCTATTATTGTCCTTAACATCCTAAATAAAACACATATACTCAGATATCTGTTGGGTAATACCCACACCTAATTCTCACCCTTTTCCTGATGCATCTAATTGGGTAGCCATTCACACAGAAAAGTAGTCATTGGACGGAATGTTCACAAATCATAAAAAACTGTGGAACTGGAGAGATGGCTCAGCAGTTAAGAGTGCTTGTTGCTCTTGCAGAGTACCTGTGTTTAGTTCCATCAGCTACACAGGGCAGCTTACAACTGCCTATAACTCCAGCTTCAAGGGGTCCAAAACCCTCTTCTAGCCTCCTTGGGTACCTTCACACACATATGTATACTCACACAGACCACACACACACACACACACACACACACACACACACACACACACACAAAGATAAATGCACAGAATGTTTACAATGTGCATTAGCACATTAAAAATCACATTACAACGTGATTACACACACACACACACACACACACACACAAAGATAAATAATAAAAATAAATCTTTTAAAAGAATCATAAATAATAGAAATACTTAGAGAGAGATTATGGCTCTGTAACCTTAAAACTACTCATGATCCATACTGACAACCTGGCACACAGACCATCAGAATCTGCCAGTTCTGCTTCAGATTTGGCTAATTTGACAGAAAGAGATAGAAAAGGTAACAAAATATATTCAATTTTGGTCAATATTATAAAATCAAATGCCAAAATTCAAATAGTTTGAAAGGTCATGGAGGAAAGTCTGCAGGAAAAGTAAAAGAAGGGACAGCAGGGTTCATGCGTTTCCATGTCATTTTTCAGTTTTTCTGCCAGCTTTGACTCCTGTCCTCATCCCGCCTTTGTCTTCTTCTTTCTTCCCCTCATACTCAAAGCCCGAGACCACCAGACGATGGGAGGAAATATGTGGCCAGGAACATGATAAGGCTTGGTTGGGGTAACAAACACAGTTGTCATGTATAGAGCTCTTACTTATCCCAGAAGAACACTGCAGTCTTTGGAGTTCAGTCCTTGTTCATGATCACCTTTTTCACAGGTGTCTCTAAAGGAGAAGAGCCAAAAATAGTGAGACCTCCAAGACGACCCCGGAAACCCAAAACACTAAATGACCCTGAAGACTCAACGTATTATTATTTACTCCATGTAAGTGGCTTGTTCAAATCAAAGACCTTCCAGAGACAGACCTTCATTTAACTGAATGGGTTATTATAAAAGGAGAAGAAAGGGGGAAAGAGAACTGTTGTTGAACATCTGCAAAATTCCAGACCAAGGGTGAGATGTGTTGATATCCACTGAGATATGTAGTCCTGGAACCAGCCCTTAGAATCGCATATACATCTTGAGTCAGGATCGTGAGGTACCAATAGCTGCTTAGCCACCACATCGGGGCATTTGACCTTATTGAGGTCTCCTACCTCTATCCCTTTGGCAGCCTGAGAAGCCATTTGTATCGTGCCTGCTAGGCTTCCTTTCCCCTCGTGTTTCTGTTCTCTGTGAATGCCACTGCCACCCCCCTGGTTTCTTCAACCAAGAACCTGGCAGTTGTCCCAGATCTTGTGTTCCCTCTCATATCTGACACCACTGTGTTGTGCCTTCCACCTACCAGTTCATCCTCCTTTTCCAACCTCACAGCACTGCTCAGTTTTATCATCATTTTTTACTTGGGCTTGAGTCAAAGCGCACCCTCCCCAGTCTAGACCAGAAAATTCCTCTAGACCATATATTTCTATCCCTCCGCTAAGAGTCCTCTCAATGCCTCAGCAGCTCCATGAGCAGAAACTTCAGATTCCTTCTTCACTGGACACAGAACTACTCTCCACAGCTCCATCTCCTGCCCCCGTGTCAAATCACCATAGTAAACCGCTTGATCTCTCACAGGGATCAGCAGCATCTCAGGGTTCCAAGTCGTCTGTCCCCAGTGATTCCTTCAACCCCAGTGGTCCATCCATCTGTAATACTTAGTCTGTCTTATACTCTGTGCTAGCACAGAGAGGAAGAACCCTTCTCAAGCCAGAGAACCCAGAGAATTCATAGAAAACCAGCTTCCCATTTCACAGGCAGAAAATGAAGGGCACATTTGACTTCCAAGTTAGCTGGGCCAATTCTAGTCTTTCCTTCCTTCTGGGGATTTCACCATAAACACACAATGCTTCTCTCCCTCATGGTCTTGCCCAGAACTCAAAGTCATAGTCTCTACTTTCAATTTATTTGCACAATCTCATCAGCTAACATGACTTCAATTACTGCTGATTTTTTGAATCTTTGTCTTCTCTCTCTCTCTGTCTCTCTCTCTCTCTGCCTCTCTCTCTCTGTCTCTCTCTCTGTCTCTCTGTCTCTCTCTCTCTCTCTCTCTCTCTCTCCCAAACTCAAATCAAACTACCTAATGCTTATTACATATTCTACAAGGATATGCACACAGACATGTCCATAAACAGGTACGTACATCACACAGCTATGTTGGGATATAAGTCACGTCACACAAATCACCCAGTTAAAATATACTACCAAATGTTCAACCATCACCACAGTCTATTTTACAATATTTTCATCACCCGCCAACAAAAATACTCTAGCCATTATCAGTCACTCCCATGTTCCACCCCCTGTTCCAAGCCCTAATTAATCACTAATCTACTGTCAGTCTATACATTTACTCTTCTAGAAAGAATCATGTATGATGTGATATACCAAATAATTTTATAGGCTAGTAATATCTTATCTTGACCCCTCCCTCTTTCCTGCCATTAATATCATAATGTTATACATTATTGATGCATGTTACTATATATTAGATATTTTCAATTTTTTATCCTCTTTAGAAGTCAATCCAAGAAGAAAAGCAGAAACCAAGGAAAGACAGGTAAATTTTGTAAATGTCAACCTCATTTTGCCCAAATAAACCTATAAATCATTGTATTCAAATCTTATTAAAATTCACACATTTACATGGATGTATTTAGAAAGTAATTTCACTCAACACATTTACACAGTAACTGTGGGGCATGAGTCTAATTTACAAATTGGAAATATGTTGAGCCAACAGTATAAAGTATTCACTAAGAATTGAAATAAGATTTGAATGAATTACACTGCTTCCTATAGAATTTGCTGTTCTTGACCCATTGGATAGTTTTCATTGTGCAATCTGAACACACCCACGTCCACAAGCTTGCTTTCTCTGAACTCCTTTTTGTTTTATGGTCCTTTGACATATGCCAAAAAGTCGCATTTTATAGTTTTTGTGGATTAGTTAGGATGCCTAGTACTGTGTTTCCTGTAGTCATGGGACACTTAGCTGCACATGAGACTCCTTTCCCTATAATATTTCAGTTTTTCAATGCTTCACTCTTTTTTGTATTATTATTATGCCTACTAATTTCCAGACAGTGCTAATAACTGATGAGGTTCTTCTACTGAACATATGTAAATGCAGTTTCCTACTTATTACCTAAAGGCTTCCTGAAAGTTCACTTATGCGTTGGTATTATAACTTGAAAAACATGTTTGTCTAGCTACACTGTAACACTTGCTGGTTTTCTAGACCTACCTATTTACCACATATGGAGTTCTATCAAGCTACAAGTGCTGAGCATCATACCAGACCATAGCCTGAGTCAATCTAAGAATTAAAACCGCAAAGAACCACTGTTACATGTCACATGCAGAAATTAAAATCTAACACAAAAAGTGATTGCCTAACAACTAGACCATAGGGCTACTTGTCACGGTGTTCAGTTAACGTCATAAAGTCTGGAGCATGATCGATGGTAATATTTAAAAGTGCTTTGTGATCGCTGGTTAAGGCCAGCTTCTGTGAGAGTGACCCAAGGCCTCTTGTGAGCAAAGATTTAGAAGGACAGAACTAGAAATTAGTCATTGTCACTGGCAGTTCAAGAAACTACGTTTGTACTAAGTTAAGCCCAATAAAAGCAAGAGAAAATGGCCTAGCAGCTAATGTAGTCAAGTAAGAGATGAGAGGTACTTTTAATTAATGAGATGCTCTGTTTTTCACATTTCAACATTTCTTCCACTTACATTGGCACGTACGTATTGCTCTTAAGTTACAGTAGATACTTTAAAAGAAAAAATATGTATCCAGGAAGTCCAGTGAGTAGAAAATTCCACTAATGGTATAGCATGTTTATGTGTTCATTTGCAGTCAAGGAAAATTATTAGATTTAGAAGATTTCTATTATAAGGAATTTTTACCCACTCCTTCTGGGCCAAAGGACCATAACTCTAATTTAAGAGAACGAAGACCAGAGCAGGGACTCCAGGATCAGCACATCAAGGCTAATGAAAGGTGAGAAGCCACAGCTGGTAGGGTGTCAGCTATAGAGTTTGATATGACTTCAAAATTTATATTCTAAACAATTGCATTATATATATATACACTAATGACATATTTTACTGAATATTGCATTTTATTAGTGATATATCTTTCAAAGATAAAACTGCAAATACTGTGGCAATATAATCAGGCATCCCAGTTTTCCCAAGAAAGGCCCCAGTTCAAACCTATTTGCTTGATGTAATTATTAATATTATCCCCTTTTTAAAATAATTTAATTTAGATAATAAAGTATATAATCATCCTAGTTGTAAGCATTACAAACTATATGAAGTCTGTGTTAAGGGCTAAACAATGTAATTTTAATCACTTTTGGGTTTTTTAAATTATGCTTCTAATCTTCAGAATCAGAGATGACAAACCAAAAGATATTTTGGAAAAAAATTCATAGAAAAAAATAACTGTCCTGGATTTTCTTTTCCATCTTACCACCAATCTTTTTTAATTCATTACCAATTTATTAATAGAAAGCAAACAAAAATCCCTTTCATGAGAGACACCTACTATATTAGAAAGCTATGAAAAGAAAACAGTCATGCATAACAGGCTGGACAATATGAAAATGTTTTAAGTAAGTATCAAATTAAAAAAATCTGTAAGTCCCATTTTCTTACCTAAATAAAATGTAATAAGAAGTCAGACCTTTGAGAAAGGCACAATACTCAGAAACAGTACCTACTATGCACTAAGGCACATTTTCCCTTTTTCTTTTAGAACAAAAACCTTGACAGGTAGAAAACAATAATTTCAACCTTAACCAAATGCTCAAATTTTGAAAAATATTTTAGAGTACCATAAAGAAAGCTGTAAAGGGAAAAAATCAAAATTAAAAATAAAAACTTTGTGGGGGCTGGAGTGATGGCTCAGAGGTTAAGAGCACTGAATACTCTTGCAGAGGACCTAGGTTCGATTCCCAGCACCCACATGGTGGCTAACAACCATCTGAAACTCCATTTTCAGGGGACCTGATGCCCTCTTCTACCCTCTGTGGGCACTGTACAACACAAGTTCACTTACACACATGCAGGCATAACATTCATACACATAAAATAAAAATAATTTTTTTAAAAAATGAAACAAACTTTTAAAACCAAGAATTCGCTTTCTAAATAAAATCCTTATTAGAAAATTAGAAAATTTATAACAAAATTAACAGTAGTTACCAAGAACAATAATGGTATCTCATTCAGCAAATCCTACAAATCAGTGTTCAGTTGTGTCCAGTTCCCACTGCACTGTTGGTCTGTGGAATCAAAAGGAAGCCCAACTCTCACGATCACTGCCACTAAGGGACAACATTTACTGGACTTTATAGAATACAGAAATGATTCCTACTACTTTAATACTCATAAAATTGAACACACACATTGATCAGGAAAAAAGGCAAAAACGCTCCTTTTCTTGAAAATTACCCTTTCTAGTTCTCGATTCTAAATATTATAATATACCCACACGTGTTTATTTACATACACGTATGTGTACATTGTGAGGGAAAAACGTGTTCTTTTTTTAATTTTTAATAACTACATGATTAGAAGAAGCATTTCATTACAGCTTTAACATATTCAGTAACACACTCCAGAGCAAGAGTACATCTCTTTCACAAGCAGCTGTAAGATTCCATGTTCACAGTTGAATTAATACAGTTACACACTATTGAACTCAGTATAAGCCCTGTAAGACATAAAATTGAATGAGTTTTT